CCAGGTGTGGTTGAGACATAGAGGAGCAAGGTGGTGAGAATTCTTTCCATAGCTGTTCAATCTTGTTGGTGAAAGTAGCACGCAAAGCTATCGGCTGTAAGTTTAGTTTGGGGGATGGCAACAGCATGGCAAAGAAGGGAGTTAAAGGTACTAAAAAGATGCCTGGGATTGCAGGAGCATGAGCTAATGAGGGAGTAAAAGTATGACTGTTTGGCAAGGGCTGTGCTGTATGAATGCAACATGAATTTGTAGTGGATGAAGTCCCTACTGGGTGCGTGACTTCCTCCAGCAGCGTTCAGCAGAACAGAAGAATGTCTGCAAGTAATGTGTTGATTTAGTGTGCCATGGTTGGGAGCGGGTTTTCCTCAAGGTGCATGTTTGGAGCGGGGCTGCAGCGTCCATGGCAGAGGTGAGGGTAGTGTTATATGAAAATGAACTATCAGAGATTTCTCTTTCTTTCATCACAAGTCTTTTTTCAGTATCCCCTCCTCTCCAGTTGGGGACTACAAGATCAATAGTAATACAACTAAAATCCTAAAAATTAAAATGCCTACAATTCTTACAGTGTCTAGGTACACTGTTTGTGTCAGATCTTACCGATCCTCAATTACTCTGAATTTACTTCGCCGTTTGGGACTCCTCCGCGCTAAATGCAAACCATTTAGTTAATTTGCTCATCCAGAGAAAATCCTACAAGCTGAGCTCTTACCTGTTGATTATCAGGTACCGAACCGGACCCTCTTCACCAACCTTGCCGACCTCTCCAAACCACGAACCTGCTTGGATTACCGACGTTGTTGAATTCTCCTGCCCCAAAGAACCGGTTTGTTTAAGGACCATCCACAACTTCACTGAAGACACCCGAAGTTGTATAATTATATCTGGATTCACTCTTATAGTTAACCTTGACTTCATGCAACTTTTCTACGTCTGCTACACTATCTATTGCAATAACATTGTTGCTAATAATTGCTACTATTACTGTAACTCTTTCTGCTTATAAATACATTTAAATACATTTCTGGGCAACCTACGAATCTTCTATTACTGGACATTTAATCTAGGTTCAAATTAAGTATCGATTTGTTTGGAGGTTGGAATAATTTATTTACTCCATTGCTTTTCTTCCAAGGACTTCTTAAATAGATTTTTTCTTAGTTTAAGGATTCTCTTAAAGGTTCGGTTACCAGTTTTGAAATTCTGCAGTTGTGAAAGAAATGCCCCATCACTTAGTTCTGTAACATTGGTTTTCCCCTGTTCGTTTGCTCATTCGAAACACCCCAACATAGTTACATAGCTGAAAAGAGACTTGCGTTCATCAAGTTCAGCCTTCCTCATATTTGTTTTTTGCTGTTGATCCAAAAAAAGGCAAAAAAAAATACCCAGTTTGAAGCACTTCCAATTTTGCAACAAACTAAGAAAAAAAATTCCTTCCTGACCCCAGAATGTCCATCAGATTAATCCTTGGATCAAGAAGCTATTATCCTACATTTAAAAAGTATATCCTTGATTATTCTGTTTTTGAAAGTATGCATCTAGTTGCTGTTTGAACATCTGTACGAACTCTGATAACACCATTTCTTCAGGCCGAGAATACCACATCCTTATTGTTCTTATGGTACAAAAAAAACTTTTCTTTGCATTTAACTAAATCTTCTTTCAGTCTAAACGCATGACCTCGTGTCCTATGTAAAGTTCAGTTTGTGAATAGATTACCACACAATGGTTTGTATTTGCCCCGGATATATTTGAATAATGTTATCATATCCCCTCTGAGGGGTTGTTTTTCTAAACTAAAGGGGTTTAAATTTGTTAATCTTTCTTCATAGTTGAAATGCTCCATTCTTTTTATCAATTTTGTAGCCCGCTTCTGCACTTTTTCTAGTGCCATAATATCCTTCTTTAGAACAGGTGCCTAAAATTGCACAGCATATTCAAGCTGTGGTCTAACCAGTGATTTATAAAGAGGCAAAATTATATTCTCATCCCAAGAATTAATGCCCGTTTGCATGCATGACAATACCTTACTGACCTTAGCCACTGCTGATTGACATTGCACATTGTTGCATTGTTTATTGTCAAGAACAATTACCAAGTCATTTTCATGTGGTGTTATCCCTAATTCACTTCCATTAAGGGTATAAGTTGCTTGTGCATTATTTATGCTGAAGTGCGTAACTTTGCATTTTTCAACATTAAAGTTCATCTGCCGTTTGATTAGAACGTGGAATACAAAGTATCCAGTGCGAAACCACAACAGAAACCATCACTAAAAGGCTCCCCTGGGTGGCCACCATTTAGTGTAAACGTACGCACGTGTATGGCGGCCATCTTGTCTCCCGAATGCAGGCTGCAATACTTGGTCGTTGAGTGCCTGGAACTTATTTTGACTAGGCACTCTCGCGAACGCCGGTGAACATGGAACTGCTGCACTTCAAGTTCCCGACCACCTATACGAACAACGTTCGGGAGATATAAACTACTGAGTGGAGGGAGCATTCGACGCTTGAAAGCACTTGAAAATTTCTCTGAAACTATTTTGGGTTTCTACCTCATGGCCGGCTGGTCAAACCTGTACCTTGATGGAAATTCCAAACTACCGAACTGATCTGAATACTTTTTGGATATGTTAAGCACTCAGATCAGAGCTATCCAGGGATGTGACTCTCAAAGGGGTTTCCAGGTATTTTGTGGGTACTTTTGGAGTGTTTAAAAATTGTTATATTGTTCTGTACTTGGGAGATAATTAAATTGTAAGTTTCCTGACTCAATTATCTCTCAGGCATAGGGAGGAGTTTACTCTGTGTATAAATTGAGAGTGCTTGCCTGCATTAAACAGATCTACTACCAGCATTAATTCTCAATTAATGTGTGGGGGGAAGCAGCTGTGTATCTAGCTTGAGCCTGATAAGGCATTTGCCTTTGGCGGCACTTTAAGGGGGGCAGCAAAAAGAGCCTCACCACAAACGCCCTGGCAAATACCTTGGGGACCCAAGAGCTGGCCGGCAGGCATCTCTAGAGGAGGAGGTGGGTGTCACTCCGGCCCGGGCATCACTAAGAGGCACGCGTGGGAGCTGAGCTCTCTCGCCACCCGCCTCCACCGTTCATCTGCCTGCCCGACCACCCATGCATGTCGAGTTAGCCCCACTGGAACCAATGGGGGAACTTTACACTCCAGCAACTTAAAAAAAGAGTTAAAAAAATTGTAAGAGTGTGTGTGTGTCTGTTAGTGGGAGTGTATATGTGTTTGTCACTGAGAGTGTATGTGTTTGTCAGTGAGTGTGTGTGTATGTGTGTCTGTCAGTGTGTGTGTATCTGTCACTGATAGTGTGTCTGTCAATGTGTGTATGTATTTTTGTCAGTGTATGTATGCGTGTTTCAGTGTGCCTGTCAGCGTGTGTATGCGTGTCTGTCAGTGTATGTAAGCGTGTTTCAGTGTACCTGTCAGTGTGTTTATGCGTGTCTGTCAGTGTATGTGAGCTTGTTTCAGCTTCAGTGTATGTATGCATGTTTCGGCGTGTCTGTCAGTGTGTGTATGCATGTCTGACATTGAGAGTATGTCTGTCATGAATCTGCATGTCTGTCAGTGAGTATATGTGTGTCTCAGTGTGTGTGTTTCTGACGCTGAGCGGGTGTGCGTCTGTCAGTGAGTGTGTATGTGTCTGTTGGCGAATGCATGTCTGTCAGTGTATATGTGTGTCTGTCGGTGAGTATGTGTGTTTGTAACTGTGAATCAGTGAGTGTGTATGTCTGTCAAGGTGTATGTTTCAGTGTGTTGGTTAAACAGTATGTGTGACAATGATGGTGTACCTGTACGTGAGTGGATGTCAGTGCATTTAACAGTGAGGGCGTGTCTGTCAGGAAAGAGAAATTTGGAGGGAGGGGGAGTTTTGTCATGCCTAGGGCAGCACAAAACCAGAATACACCACTAGGGGAAGGCAATACCAGCAATATTTACTTTTAGACGTGTTGGAGCTACGTTATTTTGGGAAAGGGAACCTGTGGTGGCAATATACTCACAGTCCGCCCCAATTACATATTTATTTTTTACCATGGAACCAGCAGAGACAACCTCCCAGATTAATTTGCTCAATCACAGAGTTGACATACTATCCCAAGGTATGCAAGATTTGCAAATAGCCAACAAAAGGATTCTAACATATTTTAGAGAAATCCAAGGTCAGGCTTTCCCCTCCACAGCTAGTGAACCCTCGTATCCGGCTGTCTGTAATGCTGAAAGGTTTTCAGGCGATCGCTCCAAATACAGAGAATTTCTGAATTCATGCAAATTGTTGTTTTCCCTCAAGCCAAGATTTTTTTTTTATTTTTTTTTAGTTATATTTTTATTGCAATCTGCTTTCTATATCAAATTACAAACAACATTAATAGAAGAAAAAAATATATAAACTAAACATTACATTCTATACATAGAAACACAGAAATACATCTATTGATCTGTATACATCCATCCAACTTTCATACTAGTGGCCATTTATAACCCTCCTACAAATATGAGCCACCACTAGAGTTGAGCAGACACCTGAATGTTCGGGTCCGGCCGAACTTTGAAAAGAAAGTCCGGGTTCCGAACCCGAACCCCATTGAAGTCAATGGGGACTCGAACTTTTGGGCACAAAAATGCCTCTAAAAACCTCCTGAAAAGGGCTAGAGAGCTGCAAGTAAAATGGGGGTAAGAGTAGGACAAGTGCCCTGCAAAACAAATGTGGATAGGGAAATCATTTAAAATAACATATACCTATACCTAAAAATTTAAAATACAGCTGAGCAATAAAATACCACTAGAAGGAATCTTTGATTTTAGCTTTGGATGAACATAAATCTAAAGCATGGCTGTCAGGGGGATTACCAGAATTACCACAATTTCATTGTTCAAACTGAGCTCAACTCCTGATGCATGGAGAAAAGGCCTTCACAAGCCTCTGCTAATGTGTACATAGTTTATACTAAGTGACCTATAGGTTGAGGAGGCGGTGACCGTGGCGATGTAGGTGGAAGCAGCGGTGGAGGAGGAGGATGAGGTAACCAACACTGTTTTTTTATGTTTTTTGTTATTTTTAATTGTGGTAGCCCACAAAATATTGGGACATATAAAAAAAGACAACTCTGTTCTGCAGAGTAGCTGTTGACATTATAGTTGCACAGGCACTTTGTTGACTCTAGAGAACCTTGGGCCAATCGCACATTCCCGTGACGGCGATTTTGCATTCGGATGTCATCCATATCAACTTTTGATGCCAGTTTCTGCGCCTACCATGGTGACCACAGGTAACTGGGAATCAGGGTTCCATTCCGTACAGGGACCCTGAGAAACGGCTACCACATGCAAGGAAGGCAGCAGGCGCGCAAATGGCCCACTCCCGACGCGGGAAGGTAGTGACGACAAATAACAATACAGGACTCTTTAGAGGCCATGTAATTGTAATGAGTCCACTTGAAATCCTTTAACTCTGATCAATTGGAGGGAAGTCTGGTGCAGAGCCACTAACCGTGCATGCTGCAGCTGAAACTCCACTATTGCCTGTTGCTGCTTGCACAGTCTCATGAGGCGGTGAGCGGGGAGGCAGAAGTTACGCTGCAGCACAGACAGGCGAGCAGCAGCAGTGAGAACGCCAAAAGCGTGCACAGCCGCTACAGTAAATGTCACATCCTGTTCCAAGTTGTCGATCAGTCTGGTGATGGCTTCTGGTATCCAGAAGCTGCATCGGGGTCCTGGTATGTGGCCTCACGAACGATGGTGCTCAACATCGGGGGGCATGCGGATACCCTGCAGCAGACCCTGCTAATCCATTCCATACTGTGACTCCTAACTTCAACATCAGGCATACTGGATCCCGGTCGTTTGACCGCCGCCCAGACAGTGTTTGTGTTCTGGTCACCGGACTGCCCACCTGACTGTGAAACTATGAATGGATCGTTAAATCTGGTACAAACCTGAAATTTGCAGTTCCACATTCCATGTGGGGTCTAGGACCTCATCATCCTCCACATCATCTTCCACCCACTCCTCCTTGCCGGTGTGCACACTGCAGAAAGCCACAGCAGTTGGCACCTGTATTTTTCCAGCATGTAAAGTGCAGAAATATGAAATTTTTTTTATAATTGTATCCAGGCAATAGTTTTCCCTATAAACCATCACAAGTTTGACTTGTGAGGGTATTGCCCCAGAATTACAATATTGTTTAAGTACCTCTTAGCTATTGATAACTGGTTTAAATATAGCAGCTTGTTATCTAGTAGTTTCTAGTGTAGAAAATATCAATCTGTTTTCTATCACTTAGATCTGTGTAACAAGTGTTGTAGGTGTGAAACAATATTACAAGTGACCGATGTATTAAATTTGAATCAAAGTTACGCTTCGATTAGACTTTTTGACAGTTCAGAAATAAAGTGAACACCCCAAATATACTATTTAGCACCAAAAAAATTTGACTTTTTAAAACTCCAATGTAAGCAGCAGATTAGCAGCAAAACAATTAGAATGCTTACAACTGCGAAGTAAGCGCACTATTTGACTCTTCAATTTGACTTTCAGATATGAAGAGCAGGCCCCAAAATTTACTATTTAGCAGATTAGCACCCAGAAAATTAGAATTTTTACAACTGCGCTGTAAGCACACTATTAGACGCTTCTATTTGACTCTCCGATATGAAGTGCACGCCCCAAAATGTGCTATTTAGCAGATTAGCAGCAAAACAATTAGAATGTTTATAACTGCGCAGTAAGCGCACTATTTGACGCTTCTATTTTACTCTCAGATATGAAGTGCACCCCACTAAAATACTATTTAACAGTTTAGCACCCAAAACATTTTTAAGTTTTAAAATTGCAATGTGACAGCAGTATTTGACACTTCTATTTGACTCTCAGATATGAAGTACACCCCACTAATGCACTATCCCACCACTAGAGTTGAGAGAACCCAAACTGTACGGAACATTAAGTTTTTTGGACCTCAGACCTGAACACTGACATATCACTGATTGTTCGGGTTGGAGTTCGGTATTCGGCGATTTAATGGCACGTTTTCAAAGGCTGCAGGGCAGCCAATCAATAAGCATTTGACTTGTGTGCCCTTAGAAGCCATCACAGCAATGCCTACTAAAGGCATGGCTGTGATTGGCCAGTGCAGCATGTGACCCAGCCTCTACATATAAGCTGGAGTCGCGTAGCGCTGCACGCACATGAGGTCTTATTAGTGTAGGGAGAGGATGCTGCCACTGTGAGGGACAGCTTAGGAAAGAATTCTGCAAACTAATACATTAGTGGGGTGCACTTCATATCTGAGAGTCAAATAGAAGCTTCAAATACTGCGGTTACATCAGAGTTTTAAAAGGACAATTTTTTTGGGTGCTAATAGTACATTAGTGGGATAGTACATTAGTAGGGTGCACTTCATATCTGAGAGTCAAATAGAAGCGTCAAATACTGCTGTCACATTGCAGTTTTAAAACTTAAACATTTTGGGTGCTAAACTGCTAAATAATATTTTAGTGGGGTGCACTTCATATCTGAGAGTCAAATAGAAGTGTCTAATAGTGCGCTTACTGTGCAGTTGTAAACATTCTAATTGTTTTGCTGCTAATCTGCTAAATAGTACATTTTGTGGCCTGCTGTTCGTATGTGAGAGTCAAATAGAAGCGTCAAATACTGCGGTTACAGCGCAATTGTAAACATTATAATTGTTTTGCTGCTAAACTGCTAAATAGTACATTTTGTTCATTCTCTTTATATCTGAGAGTCAAATCAAAGCATCAAATAGTGCGCTTACTGCACTGTTGTAAACATTCTAATTGTTTTGCTGCTAATCTGCTAAATAGTACATTTGTGACCTGTGGTGCACTTCATATCTGAGAGTCAAATCGAAGCGTCAAATAGTGCGCTTACTGCACTGTTGTAAACATTCTAATTGTTTTGCTGCTAATCTGCTAAATAGTACATTTGTGACCTGCGGTGCACTTCATATCTGAGAGTCAAATAGAAGCTTCAAATACTGCGGTTACATCAGAGTTTTAAAAGGACAATTTTTTTGGGTGCTAAATAGTACATTAGTGGGATAGTACATTAGTAGGGTGCACTTCATATCTGAGAGTCAAATAGAAGCGTCAAATACTGCTGTCACATTGCAGTTTTAAAACGTAAACATTTTGGGTGCTAAACTGCTAAATAATATTTTAGTGGGGTGCACTTCATATCTGAGAGTCAAATAGAAGTGTCTAATAGTGCGCTTACTGTGCAGTTGTAAACATTCTAATTGTTTTGCTGCTAATCTGCTGCTTACATTGGAGTTTTAAAAAGTCAAATTTTTTTGGTGCTAAATAGTATATTTTGAGTCAAATAGAAGCGTCTAATAGTGTGCTCACAGCGCAGTTGTAAACATTCTAATTGTTTTGCTGCTAATCTGCTAAATAGTACATTTTGTGGCCTGCTCTTCATATCTGAGAGTCAAATAGAAGCGTCTAATAGTGTGCTCACAGCGCATTTGTAAAAATTCTAATTTTCTGGGTGCTAATCTGCTAAATTAGAGAAAATTTATGACAAACTTACCGTAATTTTCTTTTCCTGGCTATTTCTCATGGCAGCATCACTTATGGGTAGCTCCTCCCTTAGCAGTCACAGGACAGGAATTAATTAGATTAATCAGACTGATAGGTATAAGGAGTCCCTCCTCCCCCTACACCTCAGTCCAATTATAAAGCTGAAATAAAGAATGGGCGGGAACCCTGATGCTGCCATGAGAAATAGCCAGGAAAAGAAAATTACGGTAAGTTTGTCATAAATTTTCTCTATTCCTGGCTAATCATGGCAGCATCACTTATGGGTAATACCCAAGCTTCACAGAAAAATAGGGTGGGAATAATAATCCAAGAAATTACACAAAACTGAAACACATGTAGCAAAGAAAAGTTTAATATCAACGGGATAAAGAGACCGTAGACAGGACACTCTGTCCAAAGGAGGTGGAAGGAGACTGCACATCAAGTTTGTAGTGCTTCATGAATGTCATCGGAGAAGACCAGGTGGCTGCTCTGCAAATATCATCGTATGGAACCTCTGCACAGCTAGCTCATGAAGTTGATAATGCTCTAGTAGAATGAGTTCTTATCTCCCGAGGTGGTGATATACCTTTAGAGATATACGCCTTCTTAATTATCAGAGAAATCCAAAGTTTCAACGTAGATAAAGAAGCCGCCTCACCTCTCCTTGCTCCCAACGGCAAAACGAAGAGTTGGTCCGTTTTACGGAAAGACTCAGAACGTTTAAGATATGCAGACAAGCAGTTCATGACATCCAAACGTTGCCATCTAACCTCCTCCTGAGAAGAGGGGTTGGGGTAAAATGATGGAAGAACCACTTCTTGAGAGAGGTGAAACTGAGAAACTACCTTAGGAAGAAACTCTGGTTTTGGTTTCATACAAACCCTATCTCGGTAGAATCGTAAACAAGAAGAAGATGTAGAAAATGCCTTAATTTCTGAAATCCTTCTTGCGGAAGTAAAAGTTTTATACGTCAGGAGAGTAGCATCCAAACTTTCAAGAGGAACAAACAGATCCTCAGTGAGATAATTGAGCACCATAGGAAGGTCCCAAGGAGGGGTAGTAGATCTGGAAGGAGGCCTCAACCTGAAGGCCGCTTTGAAGAACCTGGAAATCAAAGGATCCGAAGCCCATGAGATGTTGCACAAAGCTGAAAGTGCCGAAGACTGAACCTTCAAGGTGCTGAGGCTAAGGCCCTTGTCCAGGCCCTCTTGCAGAAACTCCAAACTTCAGTATTGCTAGGATGCCGAAAGTCCACATTATGAGACGATGCCCAAGTTTGGAACACATCCCAGATCCTATGCTAGCATGAAGAAGTAGAAGCCTTTCTGGAGAGCAGAAGGGTAATGATCACCGCCTCCGCGAGACCTAGTAATTGGAGTCTTTCTTTCTCAAGACCCATACCCCCATTGTGAGGCATTCCAGATGAGGATGGAATACAGGGCCTTGCGATAGCAGATCCTCCATCACTGGAAGAGGCCAAGGTTGTTCCTGGCTCATCATGGCCAATAGGGGAAACCACGGCCTCCGAGGCCAAATAGGAATTACGGCAATGACTTTCTTGCCTTCCAACCAAACCTTCCGCAGGAACCTGGGTATCATGGGTAGGGGAGGGAAAACATACCCCAGATCGAACGACCAGGGCAGAGAGAGAGCATCCTGGCCCAGTGCCTGACAGTCCGGATGGAGAGAGAAGTAATTCTCCACCTGGTGATTCTGAGATGATGCCATCAGGTCGATCTGGGGCATGCCCCACCGATGAGCAATTTCTGCAAAGATCGCCGGGTGAAGTTGCCATTCTCCCGGAAGAATTTCCTTTCTGCTGAGGAAGTCTGCCGTTAGTTC